TTTTACCTGTTGACATATTTTTGATATTTTTCATGGCAACCAAGATAAGTGAGCTTAAAGTTTGGCTGCGAGGGATCAGTGGCGGCTCTAAGGAGACCCTAACTTCAAGACGATATTTCTCATTTCCTGTGAAAGATATCAAAAAGTGATCAACTAATAAAATGTTCATCATAATATCACCAACATTTTATCAATTTATAGATGTTTGATATATTTTGTAAGGACCGAGATAATTGAGTTCAAAGTGTGCAATAGAGCATCCGCCAATAGCCCGCCAGTGATCCGTTAAGCTATTCCTATTTTTAAGATCTATGTGTATAAAGTTTTTATTTTTTGTCTTCATCAATATTCATCTTTCCAAAAATTAGAAAGCTAAACTTCCCTTCAAAATTTTCCATCTCAAAATCTAATATCTAATATCTTATTCCCACTGATTTCCTCCACAAATTCTTCTTCTCTACACCCCATTGAATATCAGTAGTCCTTCCGAGAAGGACACCTGCTGGTTCTCTCAGTTTCCCACATCTTTTCCCCCGCCAACTGCTATTGCCCTTTTTCATACAGATTTCTATTGTATGTGCGTCTTTTCCCACACGGTTTTTTCTGTGTGCACCTGCGGAATTGAAAAGTATGAGAAACGATTTGGAAACAAGGCCCATGGGAACTACTCACAGTTGGAAGTCTGTAGATTTGGAATTTTGGAAACTTCTAAATCTAGATATCGATTTTCAGAGATTTTGAAGTTTCGATTTAGATGGATTTTTAGAAACTTTGCAATGGAGTAGTTAAAACGATGCCTGTTAGAGCTTAACTATCTCAGTAACTGATAATGCTATTAAAGAAGTCTAGAGTTCAGACGGTGCCACTTTAACCTCAATTATCTCTGTAACCAAAAACTATATCAAAAAGTTGTCAACTAACAAAATGCACAAAATTTTATGACCTACATTTTTGTTGTTAACAAATTTTTGATATAATTTACAGGAATTGAGATAACTGCGCTCAAATTTCGGCTGAGACGGATCAGTGGCCGGCTATTGGTAGCTCTATTTAACTCAAGTTATCTCGGTTCCTGTTGAAGATATCAAAAACTTGTTAACTGATAAAATGTTACTGATAAATTGATAAACATTTTATCAGTTGACCAATGTTTGATATCTTTCATAGGAACCGAGATATGTAGGTTTAAACTGTTTGGTAAATTTTTCTAATACCCCAAATTCAACATATCAAACATACAAAAAATAATTCCAATAAAAGAGAATGTGAAACAGTAAAAAAGTTTTAAAATTGGTTTCAAGTCTTCTTATTCCGAAAAAAGAGAATGAATTCATATAAAACCCATTAAAAACGAAATGAAAACATTTATTCATAATTAATTTATTATGGGGAAAATCCTGAAAATCCGGTTGTATATGAAGATTTGCTGTAATTGGAAAATTATGGGTTGTAAATCTAACAGAGAAGAGAAAAGCAGGGAAGCGGAAAATGTAGAAATTGGGATTTTCGAAAAAAATTTTTTTACTATTTCAGATTTTTCAAATTGCCTTGTCACGTTTTCCTAAAAGTTGTTCTCTCTTTTATCTGTAGTATTGCCATACTGTCGAACTCGCGGTTATACGTGCTTTCAAGCTCAAATACCAAGTTTCTTTCAAAAGATATCAAAAAGTGGTCAACTGATAAAATGTTTATCATAGTATCAACAACATTTTATCAGTTGACACACTTTTGATATCTCTCATATCAACCGAGATAATTGAGCTCAAAGCGCACGTAAAGGGCTATTCCAGCATTACGAAAGAGTTCAATTTTTTCGAAAAAACCAGAATTTGCATCAGTCATGCGAATTTTGTTAATTCCCTGAAAAAAAATTCATCTCCCTTCCTACAGTATCCCATACCGGAAGTACTTGAGGTCACCCCTATTAAACTTAATATTTGCCAACTTTTATTTCGTCACAGTGCTTATTGTGCCAACATAGAGTACCATATTACCCCTAATCCCACCAACCAATTGTGACGTAATTTTAATGTATATTCAGGTACAAGTGCTCTCTCTGCTCAATCTATCAATTTTTTCTCCGTGATTTGCATATATAATGCCCAATATAATGCTTCAATCACGTAATAATGTCTATCCACAGGGGGCGAAGACACTCATCCAAGTGACATATTATTCGATTTGACAGCTAGTTCGATGGGGTGTGTGTATATGGATATGTATTGGAGTCGTGCTGAGAGTTGAAGAGCCAAGAAGCACACGTGTGTGGTGGCTCTTGGGTAATAATCAAGTTGATTTATCGTATGTAAATATTTCATGGCATAAGTGTGTACAGGAAAATTACGTAAATGCGATGTATTTTTCTAGAGGTTCCAGTGGGTCTTAAAGTAAAATTGCCTAACTTTAAGCCACTTTTTTCTTGGTTCCTTCAGATGATATCAAAAAAAGATAAAATGATAAATTGTTTATCATACCGTCAGCAATATTTTATCAGTTGACAAACTGTTTCTATCTAATACGAGAAAGGATAAAAAATGGCTTGAATAGACAAGCGCCACCCATAGCCCACCAGTGATCCGTCAAAACTTTGAGCTCAATTATGTCGGTTACTGTAACAGATATCAAAAAGTTGTCAACTGACAAAATGTTTATAGCATTATCAGTAACATTTTATCAGTTGACAACTTTTTTTATCACCGATATGAAGCGAGATAATTGAGCTCAAAGTGTACATATACATTATCGTTTTACAGCCGAGCTCCAGGCTCCTGAAAACGGTCAAAGTCAACTGAAAACACGTATTAGTATGATATATTGACCGTTACTGTAGGTGGGCTTCTATTAGAGTGTTACTGCATTGTAAATCCCCATTTTTTTGTGAAAACTTTTTACTGAAAAAGACAAATCTCTCACATGAATCTCTCCCTGTGTGTGACCTTTCCATTCTGTATCCCCCATCAAACTTTTTTTCTGGCTTTCCTTTGTCTTGGATGTCCCTGACTTTTCCTAATTAGCCGTACACTACACATTCTCCACAATTAGTACTGTACATTACGAACCACCACACGTGTTGTCAGAATCCCCAGCCAACCGGAACAACCGTATACTGTGACGCAACCGGAAGACATGCTCCATTAACACTGAACAAGGGTAATGAACAAACGTATGTCACCAGAGAGAGGAAGTACAGTACTTGCACATCTAACCCAAATTTGTTATACGCAAGTACTTGTAAAGTGATCCACTTGTCGGGCGTATGGACCCCATAGTCAAAGAAGCTTCTGCTCTTTGAGAGCAACACGGCTGGCGGAGCTGCTCGAAAACTGCCACATGGCACCCACATATGATGAACAGTTGTCAGCAGCAACAGGGGCGCGACATGTGTGAGCCAGAAGTTCCATTTTGTGTAGCTCGCCGCGAGCATTTACTAGATGAGCAATAGATGCAAAAAATTGAGAATTTTGTATTACTTGCATCATATCTAGCCTCTTTTCAACCATCCGGACCTTGCAAAAGTGTGCAATTGAATAAAAAACCATAAAGAACAGCAAAATAATGCTAGATAAAAAAGCAAAAAGGAGTTGCCCACTGCTGGAATCGAACCAGCGTCGCCACGGCCACAACGTGGAGTACTAACCACTATACTAAGTGGGCCGAGAATGCGAGAGGCGAATGGCGTATAAGAAGGGCGCGACTGTCGGCGGCAGAAGGAGCAGGGGAGAGATGATAAGAGGGTGCTGAAAGTGTGTGTTGTAGGTTTTTTGGAGGTTTGCTGGAGTTAGTTTATCATACACAGAGGCGATTTTTATCAAATTTTGGAGCGGTTTTGGCGTTTTAGAAGCTTTAAACCTGTCAATTTCACTTTTAAACAAATATTTTACTTTTTTTCGATTTCCTTCTACATTTATCTCTTTAAACAGTCTTCTCGCTTCATTTCATTCAATCTTGTCCTAATATTTGACCTTTTTCTTCATTCACTTCCCCTCCCTCCGAAGTATCTCTTCTCAAACAGATTATGGCTCTTATCTTCCGAAAATCTCCGTATATACCCCTTTTTCTCTGACCACTCTCCACTGACTCCCTAATTACTAGGTGTCATCATTGGATGACCTATCATTTAGTAGTGTACTTCTCCACTGGTCCTATAAATCACCTTAAAGTTACTCAAGATCTCCTAGAATGGCTGGATACGGTAGAAATAGACACACCCAGATGGAAATATGGCCTAGGTAATATAAAACCTCTTTCTCAGTAATCTTGGCCAATTGGTTCTTCTTCATTCACAAAAGAAATTTGGAGGAAGAAGGGGAGAACTGAATAATTGATGAGGGAAGAAAAAGAGGAAGACCTCCTCGACGATGTTGCGAAGAATATGCTAATTTTAGGGCGATTACTAGTGGGTTTTAAACTTGAGTACTGACCTGAATACACCTTAATTCCCCATTAAATTCGTCTAAAAGGTCAGTACTAGTCGTTAAAAAAAGCGAAAAAAGAGACTGATCTCGGGCGGGCTCGAACCACCGACCTTCTGTGTGTTAGACAGATGTGATAACCACTACACCACGAGACCACCGAAAAGGAGAGAGGCGCGGGGAGTATAAGAAGGGAGAGAGAGTTGGTCGGCGCCGGGAGAGAGAGGGAGAGAGTGCGAGGGGTGAATAATGGGAAAAAAAGAAACAAGAGAATTTTCAATTTTTCTCTAATGCTTATTTTCGTTGGATTTTTCGTTTCCTAGGGGTTTCCGACCCCATTTTCTTCGATTTTTCATTCTTTGTCAGCCTATTTTTAGTCATTTTTCATCCACTTTGTGCCCTTCAAAGGTGCCAACCAGTTGCCTCTTACTCTCTCTTTTCTTTGACTCCGCCCACCATCCGCCACACCCCTTGTGTCCTCCCTCCCGCTCGTGTCTCCTCCTTACTACCCCCTCCCATACATTCTCGTATTCAGTTTCTCCCCACGTCTCATCCTTTTCCAAATTCCTCCAAACCCGACTACTAAAAATGGCCCCATCACCAAAACTAGGACCAAAACGCATTCAGAATATTTCTGCCGCTTCGTGCTCGGTTAAAAAAGCTCAAGGTAAGAATTTAGTTCGTCTTTTAAGGCTATTTTTTAGCTCTTTCAATTATATCTCTTAACTAAATTCTAAATTTTTTCAGCCCCTTCCACATCCAACCAACAGTTACTAAATGGCCAGGAACGTGTGGAGCTTAAAAAGCTGGAAAAGATGCTCCCGGTGAGCCCAAAAAACTGCGATCCAGCTGAAGTCGTTCTTCGTGCCGCCTCTTATATCGACCAATTGGTTGCTACCGTTCAAGCTAGAGTGAAAAATGGAACACTTCCGATTGGTAAGACTTTATTCTTTCGTTTAAAATCATTACACATAGAAAAAAATATAAAAAGAAAAAAAAGGTTCTGGAGGTATGGGGAATTGAACCCCAGCCCTCTCCCATGCTAAGGGAGCGCTCTACCACTGAGCTATACCCCCGCACATGGGAGACGAGGTAGAAGTCGGTGAGGAAGCGAGGGAAGGCAAGGGCGCGGCGACCACCGATGCGTCCAGAAAGAAAGAAGCTAGGTAGTGTAGTGCAATTACGCTCCATTGAGAATTTCGCCTTTTTTGCTGTGTTTCGCTTCAAAAAAAAGCTTTTAGGCTCATTTTTCTTGTGGATTTCATCCCTAAACCTTCTTCTAAAAGATAAAAAAATAAGTAAATTTTCTAACCAATTTATTATTCCAGAAGCCCTCAACTCCCTCCCACCTCAATACTCCACTTCAGTGAAGTCTTCAATGGCCCGGCGGACAGCTACAAGCACCAAAAAGGCAAAGAGATCAATGGAAAAGAAGCGATAAACCTTTAATCTATTTTTTCCTCCTCCTTCAAACCAAGCCTCTGTGATCCTTTAATTTTTTTTTGATTTAGTTACGGGTTCTTTTTCCAAATATATGAATAGATTTTTTCTTCTCTTCTACAGTACTCTATGTTTGACCTACTTGTTAGTAAGAGTGTGAGAATGTTTGTTTGCAAACACTAAAATCTCCCGCAGAGTGAAAGGACCACATACAATTGGTCATATCGAGACAAATACAGAAAAAGTGTATGTGTCAGGTGTCACTATTTCTGCCTCTTGGGTCCTCCGGTCCAATGGTTTACAAAATTCTGTGAAGGGACAGTTGTCGATTGGACAAGTGTTCTCTCTGACAAATGGTCCGCGCAACTTTTTTCTTTTTCTTTCCATTTCTTAAGAATTCAGGAATCGAAAAAGAAACGACGACATTAATCTTCGTCTTGACGCGTAGAAGACATCACAATTATCGGCTGAACAGGTTTCCTATTCCTATTCGCAACTTGTCAATCCCCCCCCCCCCCCCCCCCCACAATTTGTATTTAAAAGTTTTGAGAAATTTATGAGAAATTCATGGGAAGACCAAAAATAGCATTTAGAACAAATCAAAAAAAATAACCAAAAAGAAAAAAAAGGTTCTGGAGGTATGGGGAATTGAACCCCAGCCCTCTCCCATGCTAAGGGAGCGCTCTACCACTGAGCTATACCCCCGAACGAGGAGAAGCGGCGCGGTGGGCAATTATAAGGCAGAGGGCTTTGAGACTTTGAAAGTGATAAGAAGTGAAAAAGAGGAAGTTTCTAAAACTTCGGGTGGAGTATGGTAAGCTCGCTCTAATGCTAAAAATCTCAAATTTAGATAATTTTTGCGGTTAGAAGAGTTTTTTTGCTACTTTTAGAGTGGAATTTGTCTTTCCCAACTATTTTAGTATTCTTTTTGGGCACTTTGAGCAATTTTTCATTCATTCTAAGCTACTTTTCATCGGCATTTCCACAAAAGCAGGCGTTGTCACTAATATCCATCACTCCTGACCCAAATTTTCTGCCCCCTTTCGGCCTCTCTTTCACACAAACATGAAATAAAAACGTTCTTCATATAGGAAGACCTTGAAACTGGAGAAATTTTTTGATTGGATTATATATATACCCGAACACTCGATTGTCGGCTTTCTATATGCCTACCGTTTGTCGGTATTTGTAATTTTTTTCGTCTTCATTGGATTCTTTTTCGGCGCCACCACCGGTTCAAGGTGAAACTAATAGGGTAATCGTGACAGATGGCTGACGACACGACTGTAAAGGAATACGGTAGGTGGAAATCTGGACAAACGGGTTTATGGATGGAATATGCTTGGAATGTTCCTTTTGTTCTATCTATTCACGTGTTATGTTTATATGACCTAACGAGGCTTTTTCTTGTTCCACTTGCCGCCTTTTACGGTAGCGCGTACAAACGCAACACCCCCTATGAAAACATTACGCAACTCATCTTTACTTTTAAAGGGACAGGGGTAACCAAAATATTTATGTCCGTCTTGCGCCAGCTCTTCTCATCTTTCCCGACCCATTTACAACCATTAAAGGGCTTGCGCAAGAAGCTTGGAGAAGTGATGCCGAGAGATGCTTATCGTAACCAACCAAAATATTGGTCATGGAGACCAATTAAACCAAGAAAAATTAAGCAAAGAAGAAGCAAAAAGATTCTGGAGGTATGGGGAATTGAACCCCAGCCCTCTCCCATGCTAAGGGAGCGCTCTACCACTGAGCTATACCCCGCACGAGGAGAAGCGGCGCGGTGGGAAATTAAAAGACAAAGGGTTCTGAGACTTTGAGAGTGATAAGAAGCGAAGAAGAGGAAGGTTCTGAAGGTTCAGTTGGAGTTTGGCAAGCTCGCTCTAATGCAAAAAATCTCGAATCTGGTCAATTTTTGGGGTTTAAAAGGGTTTTTCGCTTTTTTAAAATATGCTCGAGTTTCAAGATTTCAGAAACTCCCAAAAACTTCTGTTTAAAGTATATATGCTCTTATGACAAAAGTCAATGTACACTAGGCTGAATTTTGTGTTTCATCTGCAATAAAATCTATTTGAACTGGATTTTTAAGAAGTTTTGAAAATTCAATTTTTCGATTTTTTTTTTCAGTTTCACCAATTTATAACTTCATAATAATTAGTGGTAAAAAGATAAAAAGCTGATTCATAAAATTTGAAAAATTAATAATGAAACGCTGTGTTAACAATTCTAAACTCCCCAGTATTTCCTCTAATAGAAGCCAAGCCAACCTGTCAATTTTAAGCTCAATTATCTCGATTTCTCTGATAGATATGAAAAAGTTGTCAACTGATAAATTGTTTATCATGATATCACCAACATTTTATTAATTGACAGATTTGTGTTATCTTTCACAGGAACAGAGATAATTGAGCTCAAAGTTGATGCTCCGAGTGGGCTGTACAAATTTCAATTGAGCGCACTTTGAAATATCCCCGGACTCCCAGTTTGCCTCATTTCCACATTTACATAATAGACACGACACTAATTATTCAGTTGCAACAATTTGCCGTTTCCTCTCTTTTTCGGCTTCTCCTCCTCCCCAGAATTTCGGCCGCCAACAAAGAAAATGTTGCATCCCTCTGGGATACCACTAAAATGGGGGCCGTTAATAAACAATGGGGAAATGCGGTAATCGAGCGGGGGGCCACCTGCCAAAATGAAAGGCGGCAAATTCGACATGTTTCCGTTTCTCTTGTGGCGTTGTCGGGTCTCATGGGCGGTATAATAACAAATCGTTTATTCACACCTGCAATCTAGATTTAACGGCCTTTCTACGGCGGCAAATTTAATAGATATGTTTCGGGAGTTTCTTTGAAAATGGAAAAATAGAATGGATAGGATTTTGGCGGCAAAAAAGCGGTTTCAAAATTATCAGAACTAAAATTCCATAGTTTTTGAGTGTTTTTGAATGCATAGACACCGAAGCCAATTTATCTCATCTCCCGTGAAAGATATCAAAAAGTAACCAAAAATAAAATGTTTTTCACGTTATCAGTAGCATTTTGTTTCTTGACAACTTTTTGATATCTAACGCAGATAATTCAGCTTAAAGTTTGGTTCCGACTGGTCAGTGACGGCCTATTGGCGGCTCTATGAGGATCCTAACTTCAAGTCGAGTTTTCTCGTTTCCTATGATAGCTATCTAGAAGTAGTCAACTAGTAAAATATTTATCACATTATCAATAACATTTTATCAGTGAACAACTTTTTGATCCCTTTAACTGGAACCAAGACAAACAAGCACAAAGTTTGGCTCCAACTGGCCAGTGACGGCCTATTGGCGGCTCTAAAGAAACCCTAACTTCAAGCCGAGTTTTCTAACTTTCTGTGATAGATGTCAAAAAGAGATCAATTGAAAAAATTTTTATCAAATTATCAGTAACATTTTATCAATTGACCACGTTTTGATGTCTCTCACAGAAAATGAGATAAATGAGGTCAAAGTGGAAGCATGAGAGTGGTGCGGCCTCAGACGGTATACGGTAAGCTTAGAGCTCCGGTACAAAGCTAGCTAAACAAAAATGTGACATTTTAAACAGCACAAACAAAAATTAATATATAAATTTGGTAAATTTTTTCACTGTTTCAAAAAGTTGATTTTTAAAAATTATCTAAATTATTGTATTGAACGCCCAATAACACCTGATAAAACAATAGGATTGATCGGTCATACATACTTTTTTTGGAATTTCTAAAACTTACCCCATTATTTTTTTACTCCAAACATTGCCGAAAATTGCCGCATACTGTAGATTACGTATACCCAACCAAGTTGATTGACACTTCAAAGAAGATTTCACCGAAATTCTCTGATAATTATCTCTTTTTCATCACTTTTTCCTCGCCTTTTAACCTGACTGATGAGTACCACCATATGTTTGAGATGCGTATAGAGTATTTAATTACTGTATCTATAATACCTGCACATCTAACACAAAGTTTACATTAATACTCTTCAAAGTATACATTACACAATGACCTGGATAAGATAAACAAATCTTGTCTACTCCCTTTTCACCTGATCCATTTTTGTTATTGTCTTCTGGTCCTGAGAACTAGATAAAAATCAAGAGGTGACCTAATAAATTAGGTGTGTTTGGGGGTCCCTATGACTGTCTTTGTGTGCCTATCTGAAGTGCAAATCGAGAGAATGAAGATCCTGTCCTTGGAAATGGAAACAGGTGGTAATCGTAAAAGTTTCTTTAACGATTGAGATTTGAATTCAGAATAAAGGAAGAAGAAGAAAAAATGTTGAAAACTTGGGAAAGTTGGAATGCAATACAAATTTAGTCTGAAAAATGTTAAAATTTAACCTGAGAACAGTCAGAAACAGTACTTTAAACACAAGTATAACTCGTTTTTCCATCTCCAAACGCTTCCTTGCCCTTAAAAACCTATTATTCCGCTCCAAAAATAGCGAAAAATCCTTCTTAACCCCAAAAAACAGTCAAATTTGAGATTTTTAGCATTAGAGCGAGCTTGCCAAACTCCACCTGAACCTTCAGAAACTTCCTCTTTTTCACTTCTTATCACTTTCAAAGTCTCAAAGCCCTCTGCCTTATAATTGCCCACCGCGCCACTTCTTCTCGTGCGGGGGTATAGCTCAGTGGTAGAGCGCTCCCTTAGCATGGGAGAGGGCTGGGGTTCAATTCCCCATACCTCCAGAATATTTTTTTTCTTTTTTTTTGCTTTGATTTTAAACACTTTTTGTATTCTTGACCTCCAGATGGCCCTCCTATTCAAATGCAACAACTTCGGTCAACTAATTGCACTATAAAACCTCCTAGAAGAATAGCCAAAGATACGCAACAAAGTCTATAAGCCACAATTAGAGGGGCGCAATTATGGCTTAGGTGTGGAGAAATGGGATTGAAATTTGAGTGTTTGGGTCTATCTACCGTAATCATGGGATTATTTGGACAGTGTGATGTCACAGTGGTGTTTGTTGTGCAACTAACC